AAGCACCTTACCACCATATTTCACTGTTTCTTTTAGCTTGACTTAATATTATAATCCTTATTCAGAAATGAGCTTTTGTGAAAAAAATCAATAATTACTTTTGTCACTATTTATTTAATGAATTCATGGAAAGACTTCATTAAATTATAACTGCCTCATTACTGATGTTCTTAGAATAGACTTGAAATTATGGTGTGAGCCATTTATTCATTTCAAGCAAAATACGATACAGCGAGATCAGTGCATGTCCAGTAAGATGATGGCTGGTTTTGTTAATGCAATATTCATGAGACTTGGCCAAGACCATCATATTTGATCTCACAGAATAAGGATTTGAAATGAATTATTTTAAATTGTAATTAAGCATTGGCAAGAAAGTTTATCAAGTTTCATTTTTTATATAATTCAAATACCTTGTTCTCCTATCAATGTAGGTTATTTTTTGTGAATATTTGCAATTACTGAATGGAAAAATTTGACTTTATGAAATGTGCTTGATAGTAGTATTTTTTACTTCGTTCTATTACATTTTTTTCCAGAGGAACAAGGGTTTCTGGTAATAATTCATATTTAAATTGCTTTTCATGGCCTTTCTATAACTTAGAGTAGACATTAAAGTGGGGGTATGGCATGTTTGGATGAACTTTGATGATGTTCAGTTCTATTCCACAGAGTCTGAATGTATGAGATGTCAAAGATGCTGGAAGTTGAGGCAGCAAACCAACCTATCCAAGAAGAGATAGACATCATTTATAAAACAGAGCCCCTCTAAACATGACTGACTCATTGTCTCCTAATTATTTATTTAATATAGACAATTAAACCCTATGAAGTCTAGATCTTTCTACACCCTAGAAAATAAGCACTTTATACTTCATGTTGCAGAAAGATGTAAGGATGAGCTAAATAAAAGTACTCATCAATGAATTTAGGATATTTTCTTTAACATATGTGTGTGTGTGTGTATGTGTGTGTGTGTGTATGTGTGACATGTGTATAGGTGCCTGAAGAAACCACTACATGATCTTTGCTTGGGCCACACTGGAGATCCCACATACACTGGAAGGGAGAATAAAATTGGCTTTTCCTCTTGTTTCTAGGAGTCATTTTTCTTCTTCCTTGAATCCTCCAGGGATGAGGCAGAAGGATTGGGAAGAAATAAAAAGCAGAAGGGACTTCGCAGGGTTAATTTTATAGCATCTATGTAGCTGGACGTTGCTCATGCTTGAAGCTCTAGAAAGAGTACTTTGTGAGATCATCAGAAATTCCTTACCTTAGTGGCTGGCAAGATGGCCAGCAGGTGAAAGCACTTGCCACCAAGACAGACAAAAGGAGTTCAAGATTTAGAATTCACATTGTGGAAGGAAAGAATCAACTCCTATAAGTTGTCCCCTGACTTCCACATGTACACAATGACGTGAGCGGAGCCCGCTCACACTCATACACACAATAACTAACTAAATAAACACATAGATAAATAAATAATCTTAAAAGAGAAATCCTTACTTGAAGTTCCCTGGAGGTTGTTAAATGTATCTTCTTCACGTGGTCATTTAGCATTTCTGCTTTGGGCACTGGACATCCGGAGCTGGAAGTTCATGTTCTTTCTCTGGTGTTTTCTTCGTCACATAGCCCCACTGTACTGGACACAATAATATGCTGGCTCTCTAGCCTCTGATCCCCAGGTAATACTCATGTGGTCTTTGCCCTAACCAACTCTGACACATTAAAATCCCTTTGCTTCTGCATTTGAGAAAGGAAAGTGTAGCCTTCTACTTAGGAAGAATATGGGAAGCACTTTGCATCCCCACACTACCCCAAATCCTCTTCTAAGAATCAGTGTCTTCCTGTTGCTTCTTCCTTTTCAGGGGGACTGAATTTGGGGTTCTAGAAGCAATCCTCAATGTTCTCTTTTGCAAATCTGGGTTAAGCAATTTTACACTTAATTTTGTATAGTGGAAAGAGAATTTTGTTTTTTGATTTATTTTATCATCTCAAATCCTCTCAGCATGAAAAGAAAAAGGAATCCATTTGAACATATTATATTCACATCTCACTTGGATGCTGGGAATTATAAAATTATTTTAAGCATGCGATAACTGATACATAACTGTTATCTTTAAATCATAATACAAGATCCCATGTTATTTGTTTTAGCAGGAGAGATAGGATTGGCAAAGTACAGCTGAACGTATCAGCTCTGCTAGCTAGAGCTATAGGATGATCACATAGTCCCTAATTAGCTAGTATGGCTACAAGCACAGACCCTGGAGACAAAGTGCCTGGGTTTGAATCACATGTCTTTTCTGTGTGTGACTTTTGCCGAGTACTTGGTATCCTACATAAGGGTTTGACCATTAAGAAACTTATAGTGAGAGTGGATAGCATAATTTTAACAGTTGCGTAGACTTTTGGTGTATTGTTTCCATTGGACTTATTTTTATTTTCCACCACATTTATCATCATCCTTGTTTTCAAATACATGTCATTGTAAAACATTTCAATTTTTGTAGAATAATTCAAGTATTAAACAGGAGATGTCTGATAAAAATGGAAATTTTTTCCAAGAGCTTGTGGAAAAATTTTACTTTTAATTATATTTAATACGGATTTTTAAAATCTATTTTATTTATTATTTTTATTTTATGTGTATGAATGTATTGCCTCCATGTTTGTAAGTGAACCTCTGTTGTGCAATGCCTGCTGAAATCAGAAAAGGGTATGGGATCCCCTGAAACTGGCGTTACAAACTGTTGTTAGCTGCCATGTGGTTGCTGGAAATCAAACCCAGGTTTTCTGCAAGAGCAGACAGTGCTCTTAACCACTGAGTCATCTCTCTAGACACTTAAATATTTTTGGAAACACATGTATTTCCTCATTTTAACAGGATTCATATTTGCTCACTTTTGATAAAATATTTAGTGAAGTATATATGTATATTTATTATATTTAAATCAAAATTCTTATATGTATTTCAGTACATACACATACACATATGTATTTAACATGTATAGCATAACTCCATAGGAAATTGTAATAATCTCATTTAAGTGATTTGATGTTCTCTTTGGTTAACAAATAGAAAGACAGTATCACAAAAGGAAATGTGTAGGAAAACGGACCCAGGTAGATTTTCCATACTCCAGCGTATGGCCCTACTCCCATGCAGATGTGAGTAGTGCTAATTAGACTCAATAGCTTATAAAATAAAAGACATGAAGTTGGGGTGGTGTGTAGTGGAGGAGGAGTCAAGAAGTATAGGAGAGGAAAGTGAGGGGTAGGTATAACAAAATACATTGAATAAATAAGAGTCTGTGTTAGGCTGCTGTGAACGTTTATCTAATACCTCGATTGCATAAATGTTGAAAAAAAAGAAATGTGACATTTTAAAATCACATCATTTATCAAGCCTTTAAGAAATCAAAGCAAAAGATTGAAACCAAGTTACACGAGATCCTTTATGAACAGCAAGGGTGAGGGGAGTGAACAAAAACTTTGAGATCTCCAGTCCTTTTGAAAATAGCATCTAGAATTAACAAGTTTTATTAATTTTATTTACTAATTTATTTGGATTTATTTCTATTTGTATTTGTACCAATATTTTGCCCACATGTATGTAAGTGCATCATGTGTATGCAATGTCAATGGAGGACAAAAGAGGATATCGGATACCCTGGAACTGGAGTTAAGGACAGGTAGTTAGGTATTAGCCTCCATGTGGGTGCTGGGAGTTGAACCTGGGTCTTCCGCAAGGGCAGCCAGTGTTCTTAATCACCGAGGCAGCCACTCCAGCCCCCAACTAACAAGTTTTATTCATTTGATTTTTTTTTCCACAAGATTTCTTAATATAAGCTAATGGCGTCATCTTTCTGCCTCGTTCAATAGTGAGAATCCAGAGAAAGTCCAAGAGAATGCAGTCAAACCTTCGGACTTTTCCTTTGTGATTTAAAATTTCTATAGGAATAGATGGGCTGTGTATCCTTTAAATCCCTCTCCCCCACCTCTGTTCTCTCAACCAATGCTTGATGAAAGGTGAGCTGCAGGCAGTGTGAGCTGATGCACTCTGACAAGGGCCTGTGGTGCAGGTATCCTGTGCTACTGATTAAAGAAAAACCCACATGCTTTAAAAAATCAGCTCAGCTTGTGCTGTGGTTGACACTCCTGCTGTTCGAGACTAGTTCTCAGAGGCTGAGGACAGAGGCTCAGGCCTTTCCTTGCCTGACATTCTGAAGTTAAAAGTCACAGCTTTACCCTTAGAATAATTCGTAATATTACTCTGCATAATTCAGAGAGGGAGCTAATTTTAGATAATTATGCTCGCTCCAGCTTAGCTTGGATGTAGCCTAAAAATGAAGGCAGCATCTTTGAATTCTAGTGCGTCTTTCTAAGTTATGTGACCTTGAACAAGTCACCCTACATTCTTATGTCATAGTTTCATCATCTGCAAAATAAAAGCATTGACTGAGTTTTCAGCTGGATGGTTTGGTGACTAATGACTAGGAAACCATTTTCAGTGACTGCCTGTCTCTGTGCCCATCCCCTTCAAAGTGATTTTCTCTAGTGTGAGCATTTATCATTTGACACTAAGCAGACCTCCTTGCTCTGATCTCACCCATTATGAAAGGGAAGGTTTCAAGTCCCGTTTTTCTTGTGAAATGGGGAGAATGGATTAAAGGAGCTGTGTCAGAGGACATGAAAGGGCATCCTCTCATGCCGGCAGCTGTGCACCCTCTCTGTGGCTGCCTCTGGAAAGAAGGCATTTGAATTCTCTTGCAAGTGTATCTTTCTGAGTATCAATTATCCATGAAAGAGGTGTCTCAGATTTACTCAAATGTCAAGAATCTTGTTTCTACCATATTCAGTTTTTCAGAAGTAAAATCAGAGAAAACAGCTGTGGTCTAAAGAATGTTCTTGAACAATACCTGCTATTAATTCTTATCAAATGCTGACTAATCAGTTTGACTTAATGAGACCTTTCCCTCACCCCTCCTTCCTAACAGCACCAAGGAAAAATTGGAGTTAAGTTTAATGTTGGGACAGATGACATCGCCATTGAGGAGTCCAATGCAATCATTAACGATGGGAAATACCATGTAGTACGTTTCACGAGGAGTGGTGGCAATGCCACGTTACAGGTGGACAGCTGGCCAGTGATCGAGCGCTACCCTGCAGGTAAGCAAGGGTTTATGGACCTGGGGATGGTTTTAGGTAAAACAAACTTGAAAACAAAGCACTGTTTTGCGTCCGTTTCTCCAAATTGTGGTTTTTCTGAGAGACCATCAAGTATTTATTGGACTTTAGAGTCATGTCAATGTATTACTGTCCTAAACTGTTCTTGTTATCTTGTACAAATGGCATTTTATAGATGAACTTGAAGGCACACGATATTCTTTGCAAAATCCAGGACATCAGTGAAGCCAAAAATTGCCAGCACAAAAAGTACATGTCATCGCTTTTGACCAGATCCTTGCACTGGAACAAAGGAAAGGCTTTGTCAAAAGTCACATTTAAACTTTTAAACAGGGAATATATTCTGACGCTTTTTTTTTTTTCAATGAGATAAAAACTAAAACTGGACTGTTCCCTTGATGGCGGCACACAACAGAGGCTCATGAAAAGCACAGAAAAGGCAGGAAACAGAAGAAAGGTTCAGGAATGCAGTGACAAGAAATCTGCAGGTCAAGAATAACTGACAGAGCCACAGCTATAAGGGTTAAAGGAGTTTGTTTGATTTTCATATAACCATAGTGACCATGAAGACCCTGTAATGATAGCATTACTCACCTGAAGTCTGAAAAATGAACTTTATTTTTTATAGCACACAATTTATCACACAATATAAAGACAGGAATTTTCATTTTTTTGCAATAAAAGTGTTAGTAAAATGCATATTAAAGCAATTTCTTTTGGAATTACTTGCTTCTTGGAAGAAATAATTTGGTGAAATAATTTAAGTATATACTCGGTTTTAACTAGAACTGAACCATAACAATGGAATGAAATGTCTGTGATACTTTCTGGACTTTTTCTAACTTTTATCATTCTATATCTTCAAGCTCCAATTCTAATCTCTTCTATAAGACTATTTCTCCACAAATACTTGATGAACTAAATACAATTTAAAACACTTATAACAGAACTTAAGATCAAGAAAATAAATAACATGCCCAAGGCTTATTGTAATACTGACATATAGTAAGCATTCATTAAGTATTTACCAACTGGGCATCTTGGAAACTATCACAATTCTACACTACAGGTATGTAGATATACTCCTTCTGTTATTATCTATGAGATGAAGGAATGGAAACTCTGAAAGGAATGCAACTTAAATGTGCATGCTATGTCATAGTTCCTCTAGTAGTCATTTTCATTACATTCACTGAGATCAGGGAGTAAATGTACTTCTAAAACAGGGCTGAGGAGATGAATTAGTGGAAAAAACGTGGATATACAAGCATTAGGACCTGAATTCAAATCCCCAGAATCCACGTACAGCTGCTTACAACTGGGCTCATCTGTAACCCCAGTGCTCCTATGGTGAGATGGAAGGCAGAGATGGGAAAATACCCGAAGTCACTAGACCCGGTAGCCTAGCCTAAGACCCTGTCTCAAACAATGATGAAGGCAAGAATCATCAGCTGAGGCTGTCCTCTGAACAGCACAGCCCCCTCCCCCAAACGCACTCACAATCACTCCTGTTACTACTACAGTGTGAGAGCAACCTCTGAAAGCCTAGATTTCTTTCAACGGTTTATGCTGTTAAAATACCTTCTCTTAGTAAATTTATCTGTATTTTCCTGATTATTATCTTTCCAAACTCAGTTCTAGAGATTATTAAAGACTCCCTCAGGGTAAAAGAGGAAGAAATGCTTGAACTAGTTTGAGATTTTCTTGGTTAAGCTAAGTTAAAACTATACTTATTTTATTTTTATAATACATTTATAAAAGATAAATATAGTGTGCATCTCACAAGCATACAAAGTGCAAATGTATTTTTCCAATACACCCATGAATTGTAGCCAATATTTCACATTAAGAAATTATTTATCCAACATCTCATATTTTCTATGATACATAAACCACAAAACATGTACTGGGCATATTACCCCCCCCCTCAAAATAGAAAACCATGGTGCCTTCCTTCTTATGAGAGATGAATGTCTAATTTCAATACTTGTACACAGTTGAGTAATATTATTTGAAGAAATACTTGTTTAATACCTGTAATTCACCATTTATCAATTAAATACATAAGAAACACATTGTAAAATATAGTTAAGGATTAGAAGCTCTCCGGGAGATGAATATACACCCAAAACATTTGGGCAACACAAATTACATTCGATAGGCCTAAAAAATAATAGAGGACATGAAGGTACAGTGGATCTGAGAAGAGACAAGGGAGGGTTGTCTAAATATGATCAAAGTACATTGTATGAAATTCTCAAAGAATCAATGGAAATATTAATAAAGATTAGAAGCTGACAATGTCATAACAGTTAAGGAACAAATATTTAGAAATAGTTATTTTAGCTATAACCTTTAATACTTAGTCAAGTAGTATAAGTACCCTTTCAGTGAGGAGTATTTAGATAACATGAATAAATCAAGAGTAAGAAAAGGGGCTGAGGGATGGCTCAGCAGTTAAGAGCACTTGCTCCTCTTTCAGAAGACCCAGGGATTTTTCCAAAACCCACAGTGTGACTCACAACTGCCTCTAACTCCAGATCTAAGGAATAGAATGCCCTCTTCTGGCCTCTGTGGGCACCAGACACATACGTGATGCACATACACACATGAAGACACACATAAAATATTTTTTGAAAGTATATGCAAAGTTGTAAATTATTATTTTTAAGGTTATATACAAGGGACTACAGGAGTCTGCCCATAGGAATATTATCTCACACACGAGAAAACTCCGTATACAGTGCCTGCATAAAAACATATAATAAAATGTTATATATATTAAAAACAAGTAAAGTCCATATGTACTTTATATTAAATATGAGAAAATTCCACATGTACCATACACATAAAAACTTATGCTGTAATGAACACAGAGATGTCACCACTGTGTCAACCAGTGTCCATTAACCATCTGCTTTTTGTGCACGTTAGCACAATCCTGAGGGGGAAAGAAGGCATGAGAATTTCACATACTCTTTTCTCTTGGTGCTTTGCCTGCATTAAAGCCATACAGCTGGATACAAATTTTTAAGTGTCTGTCCTCAATATTAAAGTGTTTAGAACAAAGTGATTTTAAATATGAGTTCAATATCAAGGTCTAGTACATATCTTTTATATCAGTTTGTGGTCTGGCTATTTTTATTTTAAAAATTTAGGGAGGTTATTATTCATTAGAAAAGCTGTTGGGCTAATGCATTTACCACCAAATCCTATAATTAGAGAAGCAGGAACGGAACCAACAGACTGCATTTGGTTCCTTTTAAAGTGCCTACACTGCGAAATATAGGTAATAAGGGTTGAAATTAGTAATTAAGTATAGCACTTAACCCTCCATTATAGGAGTTTGTGGTAAGTGCTTTTATATGAAACAATTTATCTGGTAGCAACACTATACCTTTAATGAACAGCACCTAAGGCACTGACCAGTGGTATTACCCTGTAATTGTCTGGAAGGCTTTCATAGAGAAACTAATTAGTGGATTTTGTGCTCTTTTGGAGAAAATGAAATATTCTTCTGACTCAACAATTCACATTTAAGAATAAATATTGAATTCTCTGAATAGTAGGCCTATTTTCCATTATGTTCTGTACATGGGGAAAAGTACAGAAATAATATTTTGCACACCATTTAAATTTGAGAAATTCACTTCTTTTTCATGTCAGTTAAACTCTAGAATATAATGCACCATTAATCTCTGATTTATTCCTAATTACAGTTATGTAGAAAAGTTTCCTCTCTCATCAAAAATAGGCCTCTTCTTTTAATACACACAGCCTAACATCATCTTGCTTGCCCACAGCTCAAGATTATTCAACGTCAATTTCAGTTACCTTTGAAAATAAAACTTGGAATTAATTTGCTACCATAGTATGCAAAAAATAATTTTATATCTCTACAAGGCTAAAAGTTCATTTTATTTCCTCAAATAAATATCTAAAGAAGGTATATTACATAAAGGGAATGTTTTGGGTTCGTAGTGTGACTACAAGACAATTTTTAAATGTTCAAGATTTAAAAAATAATAAATATGAAAATATGAGAGTTCTATAATATTTAGAACAGGACATGCAAAAATAAAAACTGAAAGACAATGGATTTCAATAAGGGCATATTATTTTGTAGTGGTGCAGTAAGACACGGTAACAAAATTGGAATTCTTTCAAGCCTGGATTCATTTAGGTTGGATTATCAGGAAGAGACAGAGATTAAATAAATATTTGGGGATCAATTAAAAGAATAGTTCATGTGTTAATGAAAGAAGACTAAGAAAGAGTGTAAAAATAAATGGGATGAGCACAGAATACATTGTAATATCCAGTAAACAATTGAATGAAAGAAGCGATGCCCCCAGGACTTTGCTTTTCTTTTCCCTTCTCCTTCCCAAATACCCCCTCCCCCCCTCCCCTGTCCTTCCCTCCTCTCTTCTCCTCTCCTTCCTCCCTTCCCCTCACCTTCCTTCTTTTTCTTTCTTTTTCCTGTTTCTTGCTCTCTCATTTCACTATTAAGAGTTATTCAACATTCTGTGTTAACAGTGTTTCACTAGGAGGCAGTAGATACCAGTGAACTGGAAATCAGTGGTAAGACCAGATATATGGTTCTTGGTTGTTAAATTAGTTAGCCTGGGAGACAAGAAGGTTACAGAACACCTACCAAAATCAAATCCACTTTAATAAAGTTTAATTGCTACTAGAGCTTAAAGATAGGTGCTACTGGAGGTCTGGAATGCTGGGACAAAGTCATTTCTTTAGGGATTAGAGGATTTGAAAACGAATAACCCCAAGGGAGACTTCACCTGAATGGTATATGTAGTATGTGTACTTTTTTTTTTTTCTTGCCCATGCGATTTGGCTGGAAAGTCTTGTAGATTTTAGTTCCACATTTAATTCTATGTTTATTGGCAAAACCTGATAAAAATTTTCACATAGTGGTAAAGACATGTATTATTGTCCTTAAATTCTACATATATTTCAGATAAACG